CAGGAAAGGGGCCATATTGATATTGATCGGAGCCTAGAGCGCTGGTTCATTCAAAACGCCACTTCGTTGAGAACTCTGCCCCTTCCAAGACGCTAGCGATCGGCGCTGATCGATACCTGTGCTATAATCCTTGCTCAAAAAACTGGTGCACCCAAAACGCTGGGCCACAAAGTATGAGAGCAGCCTTATCGGGAATTGGTAACAATTCTTATTTAGGGATGGAGACAACATAGGATCGACTTACTATCTTCGAGATGAGAGCTACTATCTACAGTGGATGTACTTGTAAGTCTTTTCATGTCCAAATCTCTCATTCTGGCGGAAGAACTTCTGATAACAATCCATCTTATGACACCATTGATCTGTGGCATTAACGTGAAAGCACACCTGTGCTAGTTGAAAGCATCGTTCAAGCTGATCGAATGGGCGGAGACATACAAGCAATGTACCTCCCTCAAAGTGCTCTTCCACCTCTGATATACGGTGGAGGAGGCACTGAGGAAGGCACAGTTTGGGTATCTCCGCCCATACAACCAGCACACATTGTCCCAAGCTGGGGCTACAGGTAAAGGTAGGTTAGCGTTCTCAATAAGGGTGGTGAGATTTGAAAGGTTCGGAGCAGTAATAGTAGTAGTAGGATAATAAACCGTAACATATTAGTTGTTTTGAACTGTTGGAGGTATCCGGTGGGGAACGCCAGGCCCTAAAGTTTCATCTTACCAGGTTCAAGTACTTTTGCATTTCTAGCAAGTTTTTGAGCTTTTCGAAATGATCGTTTTCAAGTCTCCCATTGTTTTGAACAATTCAAAGTATTGACCTGCTTCTCCCTTTTTCATTCATTATTTACTTTGCAAAGTTTATTGGTTGTTGTTTCAAGGATGATTTCTGGTCCTCTCATCGAGCTGGGAAATGACGACGCTGTGAAAAACGCTAAGAAAGGTGAGCTAGCCGTCGTCACTTCCTCTCCTTTCTCTTCGCCCTACATCCTGCTCATATCACCTAAAACCTTTTCGAGTGCACATAGAATCTTAATAAATTCATTCCCTGAAGTATTTCGTGGTTCGGCTGAGTTCTCCTGAT